GAAGATTCTCTGGGCAAAATATGAAGATGCAGGCAGCATAAAAAGAAGATGGAAGAAGACAGGTCCTGACCCCAGTCCTGCCTTTCACGGTGGGCTAGAGGGAGCAAGTACACAGGTACAGATAAGACAGAAGCGCTCATAGCACACACAACCCAGGAACAGGAACGGGAGGGGTGATATCCAGAGGGCAGGGGGAAGGTGGGGACAGTAGGGAGGAAGCAGGAAATGATCCCAATGATGGACACATAACCACACCCCCTCTCTTTCTGAGGGGACAAACAAATGAAACTGTGGGGGAAGAGAGACAGCGTTTGGTGTAAGGTATGAAAATCATAATAATGTATAATTTATCAAGGAGTCACGAGGATGGGAGGGGGAGGGATGGAAACAAAGAGGAGCTGATACCAAGGGCTCAAATAGAAAGTAAATGTTTAGAAAATAATAATGGCAGCATATGTACAAATATGCTTGATACAATTGATGTATGGATTGTTATAAGAGCTATAAGAGCCCCCAATAAAATCAACTTTTAATTTAAAAAGAGAGAAAGAGAGAGAGATGGAGATGGAGGCATGGAAGATATAAATCCGAGCTGCAATGAAGGCATTCGTGAAAAACAAGGCCCCAGGATTTAATGAAATAGCAACTGAATTGTGTCAACAGAGTAATCCAGCACTAAAAGCACTTTTCTATGCCAAGATACCTGGAAGATATCCACATACCTAAGTGATGGGAAGAGATCAATATTTGTACCCATTCTGATGAAACATGATAAAACACAATGCAGAAATTTTAAACAATATCATTACTATCATATGCAAGTAAAGTTTTGCTAAAGATAATTTTTAAAAAAAGATTGCAACACTACATGGACAAGGAGATACTAGATTCAGGCCTGGTTCAAAAGAGGATTTGGAATCAAGGACATCATTTCTTACATCGAAAACATCCCAATTGAAAGCAGAGCATAGCAGAAAGATGTTAGCTTTTGTTTTATTGACTGTGCAAAGACATTCGATGGTGTGGATCCAAATAAATGATGAATAATATGGAAAAGAGAGGGTCCTCCAGAACACTTAATTGTGCTCTTGCAGAACCTCTATATAAATCAAGAGGCCGTCATTGTAACAGAACATGAGGCTGCTGTGGGTAGAGCAAATACTTGGAGAAGCTGGACTATAGGAAGAAGAACGAAGTATTAAGTTTGGAGGAAGGCTCATTAACAATCTGTGATATGTAGATGACATAAGTTTGCTTGGTAGAAGCCAAGCGATTTTGAAACCTTTATTGACGAAGATCAAAGACTACAACCTTCAGTGTGGATTACAACTCAGTGGAAAGAAAACTGGAATCCTAACAACTGAACCAATAAGCAATGCTACGGCAAACAGAGAAAACTGTGGAGTTGGCAAGGATTTAATTTTGCTTGGATCCACAATCAACACTCATGGAAACAGCAGTCAAGGAATCGAAGGAAGTATTGTACCGGGCAAATCTGTTGATCAAGACCGATGTAAAAGGTTAAAGAGGGAAGATATAACTTTGAAGACTAAAATACACTTGATCCAAGTCATCACAATTTTAATTCTTAATCATGTGAAAATGGGGCAGTGAATAAGGAAGACTGAAGAAAAAATGAAGCGATTGAATTACAGTGCTGGCAAAGAGAATTGCAAGTGCTACGGGCTGCCCGGAGAATAAATAAATTTGTCTTGAAAGGAAGTACACCCAGAACACTCCTTAGAAGGGAGGGTGGTGAGACTTCAGATCATGCCCTTCAGACATGTTATCCGGGGAGACCAGACCTGGGAGAAGAGTGTCATGACTCATATAATAAGAGGAAAGACCCTTGACCAAATGGACAGAAAACAAAAATCAGCTCAAGCATAACTACAATTGTGAGGATTGTGCAGGACTGGGTGGTGGGTCATTCTGTTGCCCAAAGGTTTATTATGAATGGGAGCCAACTCAATGGCAGCTAAGAACAAAAACAACGATGCCAGCACCCTGAAACTATTTTTGAGACCTCTGGCATGCCTGAGAACATCATTGCTTATCCTAAAAAATAACTTAGATAATTACCTCTGAAAGTTAAAAAACTAAATTAAAAAAAAATTACTTATGTAATAACGATACCTATATTCAAGAAATAAACCTTATATTTGGGTTTTACAATCTCTCTCTGTTCTACCAATGAATCAGCGATCACAGTGGTAAGGAAATCTATCAGTGGCAGGTCAGTTGACAGAATTCTGAAGTTTGTGTGGATTTCCTGTGATTTGAAATGTCAGCATGGACTCAATGGCTGTGAGTTGGAGCGAGTCACATCTACTCCCTGGTGGAGCCACACAGCTTGACAGATGTATTGTGCCAGTGGCTCTCCTCACAATGCCCCACAAGGCCCATCACCATTCACAACTGAATTCAGAAAGTGAAAGTGATCGAATCTGCTATTTTCCAAATTATACTGCAAGAAACACATCATCAACTTGGGAACACTGATACAGAAGGATATTTACACAGCCCATATTTCTTGCACTCTTGTAGGAAATCCTTGGCTCTCAATTGCTTTGCCCTCATATTTTTTGTTTTCTTGCTCACTGCTAAGGGATACGTAGAATGAGTATTAGCCTCCTTCTGCAAGTAGAAATACGGTGGTATGGACTGATTAAGGGTCATGGTACATGCCTTAAACTGACTTACTGGGGATTTGAAACCAGGGATGAAGTTTCTTATCTCTTTGTTCCAAACATTTCCTATTGGCTTAAAGGCTCCCCTACAAAGTAAAGTGTTAAAGTAACAGCCATTTAACAGCTGCCATCTTATGCACCTCTAACACTTAACATATGGAGCCTTTTGTGTTTTCTCCCAGGTACGGTTACAACTACTTAAAACGTTCATATGCTCACATGTTTTAGGACTATCTCTTTATCCAATGAATGTATCACTCTAGATCTTAAGATTCACCCAAGGATAGAATAATTATTTATTGACATATAGATCCGCTACTCCCACACACAATTTGGATAATAAATTGACAATTTACTATTCTTCACTCATTTCACATTTCTTTTTGTCAACAAGTTTATTTGAAAATATCCATCACTAATAGGTTTATTCAAAGATACACGAGCAGATTTTTACCTTCTTATGTTTTTCTTGAAAGACCATTTCGACTAATGAGGGCATTTAGGGAAAGATGACTTTACATTTTTTTCTTGCATTTATTTCAGATTTAAGATCATAAGTCAAGAAAGCTATAAAGTGAAGTTCCACATGAAGGAAATAGGTCAAGTCCAGTACCAAACCAAGGGTGTTAGGGTGACGCGTTCCAGCCTCAAAAGAATGTGTTGGATTTGCTTTCTTAGACTAAACTTCATAACGTAGGAGTGCCAAGGTTTCGGAACTGATTTTTGAACCCTTTTATCCATGATATAAACAATCAGAAAAAGGAGAAATGTCATTCCACTTAACTTAAAACAAAACAAAACACCACCAACAGCAAACCACTGAATATGGAAAAGTAGAAGAGTTTTGAGGATTACAAAAGGGAAGGATGTAAAATTCACACAGAGCCAGTTGTCATATTAGGCTGCCTTACAATAGAAATGAATGGAAGTCCTCCTAGATGGAGGAGACACTTACATAATCATTGAATGTACTTGATTTTGAATGATCTCATGATAAAGGCCCCAGGGAGCCCACAAATACACCACAAAACATTCACTTGACACCAAGATTCATGAGTAGCAACTGTTTCTCAAAAGAAAACAAATTTCTGTCCAGGGAATACCAACCACTCCAAAGGATTTAACGACTTGCAGGGGTTTGTAGGTCAATCACATCTGTTCTGAAATGAAATGCCTTTTCCTGTTTCTACACTGACTAACCCTTAACCCGCTGAGCCCTCTAGTCTTAAAACAAAGATCATTCCCGTTTCATTAGCTGTGCAATCGCCAGGGCCTTTATGTTCATTCCAGCACATGGGACTGGTCATGGCTCTATGCTGCTCCTCTGCTCAGCAAAAAGAACAAGCCCCAAGAAGACGAGACGCAAAGCCTGCCATGGTTTGAGGGTCAGAATGATATGTCTTGCCCACATGGACACCCTGTAGAAAATACGAATCCATTCATTGGGGGACACTTTTCAAGAGTGGAGCCCCCAAACCAAACCCAGTGTTACCAAGTGGATTCTGACGCATAGTGACTATCAGAGTAGAACTGTTGCACAGGGTTTCCACGATGGCAAATCTCTATGAGAGCAGACTGCTACAACTTTCCCAAGACGAGTGGCAGGTGGCTTCAAACGGGTCACCTGGGATTGGCAGCCCGCTGTTTAATGTGTTGTGCCACCGGGCATCCTTCCAGGGTTGCCTGTATTTTCTTTTCTTAAAGATGAAATCATTAGATTTCCATCGCTTTCACATCCAATCCTTCTCTTCCCTGTAGGAAATGAGGGAGAAAGAGGGCTTTCTACTCTCTTAAAGAGTCACTGTCTCAGAACCCGCCAGGGGCAGCTCTACTCCGTCCTAGAGGGAGGACTGTCAATCGGCTGGATGACAGTGAACGCCTATGAAAGGAAAGGGTGCTCACTGAGTTAAGAAGACAATGCATGAGCTTCGATGCCTAAACTGCCCCAAAGATAGAGGCAGGCTATTTGTTTGTTTGTTTCCATAAAGTTTAATTTGCAAATGAAACAACTGATTTTGAAATGTTGGGAAGGGAGGAAATGAAATGAGGAGCAAGACCCCACACATGGGAACAGGAGCGGAGCTAATGCTCGCGAGGGAAAGAGCAGATGGGAGAATCCCTCCCTTTTCCAGACAGAACAGAAAGAGGCTCCTGCTTTAAAGAAAGAAAGGTCTTCTCTATGTTGAAGGAGTGAGTCACCGGCGGCCTGGGCTCTGGTCCCTGGAGCCTTCTTTTGCCCCTCGATAATAGAAAGGCAGATAAAGAGGAAGAAAGAGACTCGCCCCCATTCTTTGGGGTCCCAGATCTTACCTGTGAGTAGACTAGATTTTGCCACTGCTGGGCATCAGGGTAAGAGCTGCCGGGAACCCTCCGGAGAGCTGCTGAGCTCCTCGGTAAGGACTTCACTTCCAGCTGCAGGAATTTGTCCGGGTGGTTGTTATTTGGCAAAACGGAGAGATCCATGTCCCTGCTCACCTGCAGCGGAGAACAAAGACCTGCGACGCTGCTCTAGCTGAACTCTTCCATCATTAATGAGCCCCAGGGAGGCTCTGCCAGACACCTGAAACCACTTTCGAAGTGACACGTCAACAGGTGGGGACAAAGTGGCACCCTGTCCTACCTTCTTCCCTTTATCATACACACGTAAGATGGTGCTCTAGTAAGACTGCAGTCAAATTACAATTGATAGACTCTGAAAAGCAAATTTCTGTTGTGCTGAATATCTCTTCATTTTGAGCCAGCATCTACAGTTTGGGGGACTATATTCTTTGGGGGAAAGCTGCCAGAAGCTGGCGTGACTATTCCTAAGTGAGTGCACAACATTGAATCACCTGCGGACAGGCACATTCCTTAATTTTCCTCGCTCTATCTCAGGGAGCCAGCAAAGCTGACGTGGCCCTGCTCACACAGGCTCACATGTGATAGGCAGGTGTGTGTTTCACTCCTGTTTTGACTCCCAGCATCTGAAGCTCATGTGAAAGTGAACCATGCTTGGGTTATCAGCTTTCTCCCTTGTGGAGAAATGGGAAGAATTCGTTTTTCAGTTCGATATCGTTATTTGGTGCCCCCATCAGCTCCTTAGTGGCTGGATCCCTTCAGTATTTGAGCCCCTTTGACTCCGGTCCTCGCTGCGTCAAGGCCTATGGTGTGCTTCGGTGTTCACACCGTAAGTTTGGAGCCAAAGGGAAGTCTGGCTGCCAGCTTTGGGTGACATACTGTCCTAAGTGAACCCATCTGCTGTTGAAAGAGTTAGGGTGGGAGAGAGGCCATGGACAGCTCGGCAAGCCAGCGAGGGCTGATGTTTTTAATGGCAATGCATTCTCTCATTCGAGGCCATGCTGCCTTACAGACCCATGCTTCTCCTTGAGAAAGTAGGGTCTCTGTCTGAAGAAGGGAATGTCCGCTGGGGATAGGTGCACCAGTACTTCCTCAAGTCATGGCTTGTCTGTCAGCTGTGCATCTCTATGAAGCTTCTGATGCAGCAGGGAAGTTTGTTTCTCTTCCAAGGGCCATGGGGTTACATGTGGAATGCATCAGCACCAGATTTTAGAAGAATGCCTATAGCTTATAAGCATCAGCAGCTAAGATATTCTTGAATCAAGCACGGCACTAGAGAATACTTACCTTCTTTACAGCATTAGGTGTGAGCGTGCATGTCTTCTGTTTGTTTATTTGCTCCACTTAAAGCTATAAATCTGAATCAAGCAGTTACATTTTTCAATAAAGATTTTTGAATCCAGAATTTATCACTGTGTTACAATATTTGAAATATATGTGGATTCTTTTTCAATATTTTCGCTGGGGAAAGTAAGAAATATTTCATGATAGTTAAGAGCAAACCATTAAATCAAAAGCGTTTCAAAAGTAGTCAGGTGTAAAATATGTGTGTTGCTTGGTACATGCTGGATTTTTCTGGCTGCTGCCAGGATGTATCTAACGTGCACCTGTTTCTCAGGCTATTTGCTTTGCCTAAAGGAGTCTGTGGGGAATAACACATATCTTCAAGAAGAGCCTTCCTGGTCTTTGGCTTTTTATTTTGGCAAGTGAGACACAGAACCAAGGTCCCAAAACCGTTGATTAGGCCTTCCTTTTCTTTTCTTTTTTTTTTTGCCAAAGTATGAGGTAGGTGAAATGAGTCTTCAGTTTTCTTTCGGCATTCTTCCCTTCGATTCTCATATCAGGCCTCCAATGCCCAGATTGTTGACTGCCTCTTTCTCCGTATAAGTCTGAAACTCTGCAATTTGAATCCTAAAACTATTCAACCCCAAACATTAGCACTTATCTCTTACTGCACCCCCTGTCGGCAAACTACATGATTCACAGTCAGGAAATCAAGACTATCCAATGTCCCACCAGTATTGTTGTCTACTCCCACCCCGCCAGAGGTGTGTCTCTGCTCATGACAGCCTTTGGTCTGGAAACATTCATTTTTTATCTGTGGCTGTAAGCCACCTCATAATCTTCCTCCGTGAGCTATCTCTGACAACTAGCTTTTCACACAACGCTCCATGTTTTCTCTATTAGGTAAGTTCTTTTCACTTCCTAAAAGTCTCAGAATATTATGTTTATTCCATGACTGTACAGTTATTTGTTTGATCATGTGTTTCTTACTTATTTTCCCTACGCACTAGATGAGACATGACAAAGGAGAAGCCCTGCTTGATAGGGCTTTTCCCGCGTGAGCCTTGTCGACAGCCATTCGTGACGCCCTGCTAGGAGGAGAGAATGGGTGCTGTTGAGCACTCCATACTTTTAGACCGTGACTCTGGCGCAAAAATGATCATTTACCTTTCCTTGGCTGATTCCAGGAACCCAAGAAGAAAGTGAATTTTGGGAATGATGAGGGCAACAAATGTATAGATGTGGTTTACACAATTGATCTATGTATTGTGATGAATTGTATGAGCCCCAATAAGTTGATTTTTAAAAAAAGATCATTTAATAAAATTAGAAAATGGTTTACTGTTCTGTCTTCCAACCTGTGTTCCAATAAGACTCGATGGAATAAAGGTCCTTTTTGGTTAAAAATGTTTATAACACACTGCATATTTGCCTCTGGTCATTTGCCATCATATTGAAGATGGAGAGGTTCTGCTTTGTTAAGCCTAGCTTTTTGCAGATCTATTGTTTGACAATTAACTCTTCAAAACTCAGTTGCTTGAAATGTGATGAAGGAAGCTGATGGTGCCCAGCTATCAAAAGACGTAGCATCTGGGGTCTTAAAGGCTCGAAGTTAAACCAG